CTTTTTTTTTTTTTTTTTTTTTTTTTTTTTTTTTTTTCACAGCATATGCTGTTTTTAGTATCTTGCTTCGCTCCGTGTTTCCCCTTTTTCGTAGCCTCCTTAATCTCTATTAATCCTCTACATACTAACAGATTGAGCACCAACACCACTTTAGCCCCTCTGTACCGCAGGCACGGGGAGGTTGAAATTTAAATTTTTTGGATCGCACGCGGTCAAGGACATACCCATAAAATTTCAGCTTCCTAACCTCCGTGGTTTTTGAGATAATGAGATAATTTATCCACCAAAACTTTTACGCTTTTTGCCAGATCGAGTATTTCTGAAATAACTATACCCAACTCTTCCGTCCTTTCCCTTTTGTTACCTTACACCTGCATATTTTTAGGTCATTCCTTCCATACCATTTTACTCAATTACATTCTACTTTATTTATACCCTCTTGGTGTAGCTAAGGGATGAAACACAGACTGCATCCAGACATGTCTTCTTGTACTCATGACAGTTCGTTTTTTTAACGGAATGTCCCCTGTCCAAGTGCAACTTAAAGATTTCAAATTCAGCTCCCAGGCATACGTGAAATCTCACGTATGGCTGCACTTAAATGTTTTGCCGAGAAAAATTGCTCGCTGAACAGCTAGGTTACTTTCAAAGAATGACCGTTAAATGGAAAAATTGTAGACTAACCCCTTATTTTCTACTCTTTTATTATTCCCTCAGATTCTATACGAACTTCGGAGGCAGTCTAAATTAGGCACGTGCCAACAACAAAAGTACGCTGATGAGGCTATTGCAAGCGTCGTTTTATGAAATATGTTGATAGCACTTTTGCTTTTTCCAACCCTCGGTGAGGGTAAGCCGACTGTAGCAACTCGGTTGACCCTGGAAGCCTAGATGGTGAAGGCGCAATAGATTACGGCATGAAAGAACAGTATGAGAAAAGGAGGTAAGAGTGAGATAAGATGTTTGGGTCCATTAAGTCATATACGTCTTAACTCAACACCGCGACAGGACCTCGTCAGTATAACGGTTGCAGTGCTTAATGGAAAAGAAAAGTGAAATACGACAGGAAATGACGGAATAGGGGACAATATGATTGTGGGATTAGCAGGAGTAAGAGTGGGTTGAAGAAGGAAGAAAAAGGAGGAAGAGGATTTTAAAAAAGAAAGTTGTTTTTAAAAAAGTTATTTTTTAAGTGAAAAACGACAGGGAAAAACAGGAGGGGGAACGATATGATTGTGGGATTAGAAGGAATAAGTGTGGGTTGAAGAGGGAAGGGAAAAAAGGCGGAAAAAGGATTTTAAAAGAGAGAGTTGCTTTTAAAAAAATTATTTTTTCTAAAAAAATGGCTTTTC